GTGTGTAGGGTAGTTGTTTTCTGAGAGATTCAAACCTCTCATGTGCACCGAGACATTTTACTGGCATATATCCGAAAGGACAAGAGAACAGCTCTCAGGACAATGAGATATATTGACAAAAATTGAGTCAGGATATGCACCTAAGTTCAAGAGATCAGAATAGGCCCTTCAATACCACATCTAGTTCCTTTACACATGCAGTTATGAGCTCAGCTTAAAAAAAAAAATCAGTGTCTAGAACAATGAAGCCTCCAGTGTAAAATAAGTAAGAATAAAAAGACAACTAAACTGCATTAGTGTCAAAATGGCAAAGATAGTTTTTGTCCACGGATAGAATTTCTAATCAAGGCAACAGTAGCTGCTGTTTATTTTTCACTTCTGTGCAGAACAGTATTTGTTAATAAAATAATCCCCAAACAATTGCCATATTTGACAAATTCTCAAAATTATTAAAGTTAACAACAAAAAAGTGTTTCATGTGATTGCACTAAAAACCCCAGCACACCTGGTCCAAAGCACTGGAGCCTTCAAAGTACTAAAATTATTGATTTTGTTCTGTTCAAATGGAAGAAATATGAAACATATCAGACAATCTGCATTGTGAGATGCAAGTGTTATTGCAAATGCACCACAATAAAAAAAACTGCTAAAACTGGCTCACAGATGGACAAAGTTGTTATTGTTTTCATGATCTTTTATAATGTGTTTGCAGGTTTCCACAGCCTTGTTTAAATTCAAGCAAGGACCTTTTTGCACCAAGTTTGCAGGATTTCATTTGTGAGTTGCACATTTAATCCTCCATGGCAGATGGTGATGAGTGGGAGTACCGCTGTATATTTGCAACAGATTCCTTATCATGCAAAATTAATTAAGTGCTTCTTGTGCTGCCTTCAAAATCAGAATTGTATTGTTTGTAAAAAGCTAATTCTTGCATATAGTTTTGTTAGAACCTATGCAATTTAAACAAAATATAAAGATGGTGACATGAGTACTACTTCAATGCAAATAGATAGTAGTAACTAAATTCAGTCCTTTCACATTGTAAAGCGAATGATCCTGTACATTTAAAATTCACTTGAAAATTTTTAAAAAAGTCATACTTTGGACTTCAGTGTTAGTTTCCCCAGATGCTGCTATGAACAAGGACAGTAAAGCAGTTAATCAGTGTCATTCAGACTTGTCGCTTTTTTCTTTAGCAGATTTCTTTTATCGAGAACTCATTTTTTTTTAAATTCACTTTTGTTTTGGGGTAGGAGAATTTTACCTTTGATTCTTACTAATTCACTCAGTCTTGTGCCCGTGTGAATGCTCCTGGAAATTCTCCCTACACACTAATGACCACTTACAACTGATATTTCTTCCACACACCCTGTACTTGTTTCACTGGAGAAGAACAAACTTGGAACAATTGTGTGCACTTCGAACAAGTTGCAAATCTTTAAGCCACCTCCTCTAATTCCCAAGGTGGGGGAAAACATATTCTCTGTAGAAATGTTAACATGAAGGTCTCTTGGCATGACAACAGAACACGTACATTGTGTGGTAAAGCGTTTACTGTGACAAATATCAATTGCACAGTATTTTGAAAAAATGACCAAACAAGCAAAATGACTATGTAGCTAGTCTTGTGCGAGCATAATGTTCTGTAAGCCAAATTTAAGTCAGTCAAGCACACTACGTGACCCAGCTGGAGACAGAGCACTTGAACTCTACAGGCAGAGATACGCACAGTGAAGTGGGTTATCCTCAATTTTCAGGAAGACTCATGATGATTTATCTAACCTGGCCCTCAAAAATATGATGACAGGCATCTTTTTAGTGAACTCCTCACTATGCTATCTAGGTGCTAAATAGAAGAATTAAAAATCTGTGTTGTCGATCCAGGTACAAGCTATCTTCTGTGCTCCTCCTCCAATGAAGATGGTGTTTCACTGGTTTTCATGGGAGTGGGGAGGAAAGGGGAAGTCAGGTGGCTGGTTTGTTTACTGCTGCCTTTGTTGGGGAGGAAGCTTTTGCAAAGAGGTGTATCTTGCATTGTGTTCTGAAGGAGGCAAGATATGAAACCCATCCAATGGCAGAGAATTTCGGTTGATGGCCATATGTCAAGAACACCATATTCCCATCTCTGGAGAGATTTATAATAGCTATCATTGTCCTTGTTGACTTTGGTATGATGCACAGGCAGAGATGCCCCCTCAGGTAGTCAGGCCCAATTCACGAAAGGTCTTGAGGATGAGCACTAGAGCTTCACTGGGTATGGTATTGAACAGGATGTCAGGGCAATGCATGGAGGACCAAAAGGGATATGTTGCATCTGCCTCTTCTGCTCAAGAGAGGGGACGCTGGGTTGATCAGGCAGTGAGTAAAGGGTAATCAGAAATGAAATTTTGGATGTTTGGGCCATCTCTTCCACATAACGCACTCAATACAAAGGGAGCGCTGCACTCAGTCTGCGCCCAGTGTGAAGAGCTGAGAGGATTGTCCAGTTGTTAAAGCGCAGGACTGGAGTCAAGGATCCTAAATTCTATCCCTGTTTCTACCACTGATCACTGTGTGATCTTGGAGAAGTCTAACCTTTCTGTGCCTCATTGTTCTCATCTCCAATGTGAGATGAATACCTAGCTAGCTTCACAGAAATGTTAGGAAGCTTAGTCAGTCAGCGGTAAAATGCTTTGAGATCCTCAGGTTAAAGGTACTACAGAGGGGTGCAAAGCATTATTTTTAAAACAGAAGGGTGGAGCTTTGTCCAATATGGCACATGAATCCAATTTTATTGGGGAGAGATAGTGCTAAGCACGGATTAATTTATTTTAAGCTAGTGCCACCCCTTAACTCTAAACTCAAAGTGCCTTGCTGTACACATTTGGGAAAACAAAAACAAAACACCTTTCGCTGCATTTCTCCATGGGTAAATAGCAGATCAGTCAAGATGTGTAATAACACGCCAGTATTTTGAGATGAGAATGGGGTTCTTAGAATGAATGGTGAGTTTGGTTTTGCAAGTGATTCCCACCTTCTTTCTTTCCGGACAATATCTACCAGCATCCAATATGAGCAGTATTTCTTTTCTTTTCTTTTTTTTTTTAAAGAAAGCTTTTAGTTGCTACCAAGAAGGAAGAGCTAATTCACAGTCTATAATATTTAAAGGGGGAAAATAGAGTGAAACAGACTAAGAGTGAAATCCTGGCCCCATTGAAGTCGATGGCAAAACTCCCATTGACTTCGATAGAGCTAGGATTTCATCTTAAAGCTGATGGTATAATATAAACACACAAAGCAGAGAGCACATAAGGTTTGGGGGCGGGGGGAGGAGAGGTCATGAAAAGCACTAGTTACGATGCTACAAAAGTACTTTATTACTAACACTATTACCTGTGCATTTCCTTAAACTGAAATTTCAATTTCAGTTCAAATGGAAAAGGTCTGTACCCCTGTAGCATTAAAAATTCTTCCTAACTTTTTAAGAACTTCAGTTTCAAAATAAAATGGCAGTATTACAAAATGCTGTAGGAATGTGTTACCCTGGATTATATATTAGGATACGTGACATCCTAGAGTATTTAAACTTTTTTGATGCTGTGAAACTGTTAGAGGTTTTTTAGCAACTAACCTTTAAACAGAGCAAAAGAATAACGTTTACATTCTACTATATAATGCTCAGGTTAATTTAAGGATGAATCATGCAGGCTGTGTATTTAAAAACAAACTCATTCCATGGCCTGAAATTAATTATTCTAACCAACATAGTAATTCAATCATAAAAACATGAGTTTATTAGTAGTGAAGCAGCTGAAGAACTGCATAGTCCATCCAACCGGTTGATACATTTTTTTCTATACTCGGTTATGAAATGCAGTGTTGCAATTTTACAAGGTACATATTTTCAATTAGCAAGAGAATGTTACAGAACACAAACATGGAGTGAATATTTGTATTTAATGGAATTTAAACCAATAAGTCAACTGAAAGAGAGATCACCTCTAGCTATAAAATGTGGTGAAAAAAAATCAAATTTTGAATGAATGTGGCAATATATAAATTTTAGAGCCATACAGCAGATATGTATCCTTCATACTGTATGGCATTCATTGCATATTCATGTCAAAAAGAAAAGTCTAACTGATGGCTTAAAATTTGTATAATAATTAAAGCATTTAATATTTTTGCTTAATTTTGATATTGACCGAGTTAATACTTTCATTGTGTAAAAACATTGTGTACATTAAAAAAAATCACAAACAAATTTAAAAAATATTTAAGTACAATTACTCTGCTGCAGTTAATGTTAGTGAAACCAACTCAATTTGGCTAAGGTTTTGGAAGAAAAACATATGAACAATGAATATGCTTCAACTGTTTTGTTTAGTACCTTAGGATCTCCCTTAAAGAACTTTCTACTGCAATTAGACTATAATATCTCCCTGCTTTATTGTGTGGCTGTGGTTACTAAAACATCTGAACACATTTAAAAATCTGGAAAGTCCATAGCCATTCTACACACTTTCATTTATTGTCCGGACAATTAAAGTACAAATAATTCAAACACAACAAGGTTATTAAAAAAACATTTACAATACTTTCCCTCAGAAATGATCTAAACTAGCAAGGTTAACATGAAGTCATTCATTATAACTAAAGTATACAACTGCCTGGTCCTAAGAAAGTTTTTTCTTTAAATTATTATCCAGCTAGTAAAACACATCGTAGAGAAAAGATTCTGACATGCCTTCCCCACTAATGCTTAGCAAATGCATCAAAACTTTCCCAGTGAACTGCGCTCATTCATAGCAGATGATGTATAAAGGTTTCCCTGAACATTGAATGAGTGTTCTTTTGAACTAAAATATTTTAAAAGTAAAAAAACCTGATAAAATTATGATGCTTTAGTTTTATCTGTCTACTACAAAAGTTTGCCTCTTCAGTGTGGAAAAAAAACAATACTTAATCTACGTGCAGTTAGTGGGTATAGCATGGAAAAAAATGCACAAAATAAGCACAAGTTATAAATAACCATAACGTTTTATTACCATTAAGACTAAACTTGTATTGAAAAGATTTTATATAACAAGACAAGAAAAGCAATAGCAAATTTAACTATCAACTAGATTATGCATAGCGAGTAACTGTTTCTAGTACTCAGGGAAGAGCATGACCCTTTTTTGTTTTAAATATATAACCGTACAAAGCACAAACATACTAAAATGATCAGTGCACTGGACATGGGAGAGCACCCCCTCAGTCATTTTGTTCCCTTAGCTCTGTTTTCCCCAATCTGAATTACATTAAAATAAAGACCCAGTTGTTTTCTTTTCTACTGTGCAGTAAGAAAAAATATTCACAACAAACATGACAATATATCAAACAATATTTCTACACAAGTTACCTTGATACCTGTCACTTAAGTATCATAAGAAAACATTTTAAGACATATACAAACAAAACTAGCAAAGTGTTACAACTTATAATAAATTAACAAAAAGAAAAAATAACTTTATATATATATATTTATATTATATATACACATACACACACAACAAAATGACACAATAATATGCTTCTTCCCATAGTTTAAGTAAACAAATAAGTAGACTAGCCAAACTAGCTATATTTGATTTTGGCCATATGCATCACATCGGCAATTAAATAAATAAGTGTTTCAAGCAACATAAACAGTGTTCCAAATGTGCCAACACAGCCCAATTTATATCAGCATGGGCTATAAAGTGAATTTGAAAATTCTTAACAAATTTTAAGCAAATTATTTTTTCTAAACACATTACATTTAACTATGATACTAAGATATGTAAATAATTCTGTAGCACCTACTGCTCAAACCAAGGAAGTTTTTGATCAAAACAATTATTTTTTTTTAAACTTTGTTCTGCTGATATCCCATACTGATGACTTAAAGAAAAACTGTCTTGCAACTCATCTCCTTGCTTTTGGGTTTTGACTGTGGGTAACTGTGTGCCTGGGAAGAACACTCTCCCGTACTGTATTTAATATTTTTATTACATGCTATGAAAAGATACGAAGATCATCTGTTTGTAGCCCATCCTTCAAAAAACAATCTACTAATCCAGTTTAAAACACACGTCTTGATCTCTAAAAAGTTACCAGTGCAGTATGAACATGACAAAGTTGTCAATTTCCCCTAAATTAGCCAGTCAAAATATTTTTTCTCAAATCCAGATTCTCTTGTAAAAATTCTTTATATTTTATAAAAATAGATTTTTCTTGAAACCCATTTTCAGCAAAGAGACCACCTCTTTGGCAACATTGTTAATGTTATTTAAATTGTTCTGTCATCAGGTATCCCCCTTTTACCCCATTCCCTAACAGAAGACTGTTTAGTTCACATGATATAAAAGAAAAAAGGAAAAATAAAAAAGGTTGCAAAAGTATGTGTTTTTTTGTTGTTGTTTTTTTTTTGCAATTTTTATTGTTCCTCTTTAATTTATATGGGGGGTTTACCAATCTGATTGGATCAACATTTGAAAAAAAAAAGAAAAATATTTTTTCTTTCTTTTAATCCCATTAGTTTGTAAAAATTGTTTTTGTTTTTTATTTTTTTCAAATGAGTGAATGGTCATCTTAAAAAGAGCCACCTTCAAGGAAGGTAGTAAAACTAGCTGGCCGGGTAAAAATCCCTGCACATTGTTATCTATGTATATTATATTCAACAACGACAGCTATGAAAGAACATTCAATGCATCAAAGGTTTTTTTTGTTTTTGTTTTTTTTCTAAGCATTATAAAATCCTTTCCTGTTCATCACAGGATATCCAATGTTTTAATACTTAGGCAACACTGGCTTATAAAGTCCATGGTTGAATATAAGCCTTGCAGAGTTTTTGTTTGTTCGTATATATATTTATATATATATATATATATATATGTTTTAGTAAGTAAGGATATGAAATTCAGGATTTGTGGGTTTTGTTGGTTTTAAAGGAAACTTGCAATACTCTGTCTCCTAAACGGTATCCATTAAGGCTGGCAATTGCCATGGCAGCTTCGTCATAGTTGGTCATAGTGACAAAGCCAAATCCCTTGCACTTGTTGGTGTTGAAATCGCGGATCACCTTGACGTTATTCACTGCTCCGAAGGGGCCAAAGAGCTGCCACAGCACACTTTCATCTGAGTCGGGAGACAAATTGTAGACAAAGATACACCATCCAGTCCCAGTGTGGCCAGGAATATTCATTCCAACAAGGCTCGTCATCCCATCAATTGTGATCGGGGAAAACCTACCAAATAAAAAGAGGGGCTATTCTAGACATAGCGCTTAGCACAAATTACATGGAACTGAGACTTAAAATAAAGCTCATTAAGGTTTCATGATCCAGTCCTTGGGATGTAAACTATATGTCCATCTTTGCTCTCAGTTACACAGGTGCCACTAACACCTACTGAAATGAATGGTAGCTGGGAACAATGTAACAGACGAGAACTGGGCACAATGACATTTCCCTTCCACAATAAGTTCTAGTTTGCTGTGTCTGAGGTCTAAGAAAAGGAATTCTTAAAGAACATCTAAATAAGCATGGGCCAAAACTTGCAGTGCTAATTAGGAATTTCACTGAACGAGTAAGAAATGCAGCATTTGGCCTGACATTTCTATCAATAAAACAACTCAGCTAAAGGACTGTGGATACAACTGCAAAGTTACTGACGATTTAACACGTTACATCCCCTACCAGACCCTCATGGAAAAATGGATCTCTTAGGGCTTGGTTTTAACATTGTCAAATTTCAGCAATATCTCTGTATTGAGCCTTTTTATATATCCTAAAAGCATTTGAGAGATTTTTAGATGGAAAACAGGAAGTTTTGTCTGTTTCTAGTATACAGACTTTTATTCAAATATATTTTTAAAAATTAATTGTTGGTAACATTATCTTAAAAATGTCTGTACATATCAATGAGCATATGTGTAGTAATTGTAAAGTAGGAAAACCAGTGCATGAAGACAACTTGCTTGGTTAGATCACCCCCATTAGCAGTTGATAAAACACCATCATTTTTGAGGCCATTATCAATGGGTTACATTTAAAGTAACTGTTACATGTAAGAAAAGTCTTGCTAAAAATCGAATTTCCACACTGAATTTTAAAGCAGGCTTCCTCAATGAATTTTAATTCCTATACTGAATAATTCTTACCTTTGTTTTGCAATGCAGATGTGCAGACTGCAAGCTCTCTATTAGAAAACTTGTAATAATATTTATAATATTTTTGGTTACATTTAGTGAATAGAACTCCTTAACATTACTCTACTGCAAGTGGAAGTGAACAGACAATACAAGGAATTTTAGTGTGTTGATTGCTTATCTTCTATGTGGAATTACACTTAAAGTCTTGACTGCCCTTTGACGTACATCCAGAACACTTCTGGATATTGCACCTAAATTGAGAAATATCACTCCATTTTTTCTACAGCCGGCAAACACTTATGCAAATCAGCAACTTTATTCACACACATAACAGCTTGGAGGACCGGGCCCTCTGACTCATATGCAGGCTTGCAAAAGTGTTCAGGGTTGCAGTAACTCTATTCTTATTGAAGTCACTGCAAACAATTCCTACTGAATTCCACTTTTGAAAAATCCCACCCAGAATATCTGTAATGCTTTTTTTCCCCATTTTTGTATACTTAAACTAATTATCATACTGGCACAGCACCATTTTGCTATTGTAGACTTCTTTGTGCATTTCCTCAGCTGGTGCAGACAGACAGCTAAAGCTGTGCGAATAACTGATTTTTAAGTTTGCTAATAGCTGATTCTGGGTTGAACTAAACCTTCAGTTCAAACCAAAACAAAATATTTAGTTTCTGATTTTTACATTTTTAATTTTTTTGTCTTCTAAAATTAAAATAAATTTCTAAATGAAAAGTTGTTTTGAATCAAAAAATCAAAATGTTTTGCTTCAAAAATGTCTAAATGAATCATTCTGATTTTTTGGGGAAACCTTTTAGGGCTTTAAAAAAAAAACAAAAAACGACACCACTGAAGCAATTCAGCAAAATCAATACACCTCTACCCCGATATAACGCTGTCCTCAGGCGCCAAAAAATCTTACCGCGTCATAGGTGAAACCGCGTTATATCGAACTTGCTTTGATCCACCGGAGTGTGCAGCCCCCGCCCCCCCCCCCCGGAGCACTGCTTTACCGCGTTATATCCGAATTCGTGTTATATCGGGTCGCGTTATATCGGGGTAGAGGTGTACAAATATGCCAAATGTTTCTGTCAAAACAAATCCACCGTTTTCAATAAAAAAAACATTTTGTCTGAAAAATGTTATCCAGCTCTAGACAAAGCCGGAGCTATGTCTTTTTATACCAGCTGAGAATCTGGCCCATTAGATAGTAAGTTCTCTTCTCTACAAGGAATACATTTAAACAAATTGAGGGTACAGCTAATTACTGAACAAATTCCTTTCAGCCAGCAGAACAGGCTTCTTTGAGTACAATTCAGAAAATGGGGTCTTGAAGTTTGCAAACTTTAACAGCCTACATAAAGCAAATACTATTTATGCTTGCGTCTGAAGAAGTGGGCATTCACCCATGAAAGCTTATGCTCCAATACTTCTGTTAGTCTTAAAGGTGCCACAGGACCCTCTGTTGCTTTTTACAGATTCAGATTAACACGGCTACCCCTCTGATACTTGACACTATTTATGCTGTTATACTTTATACGGAGTGTGTTTGTGTAAGAATATTTGACTGTGTACTTCCATACAAATCATGTTAACAGACTGATTATATGGTGCACACCAAGTTGTGCAGTACAACCGTATGCTAGTTTTTTGGATCTAAGGTTGCCAAATGCACAAGAAATATGATTATATAATTCAAGACTTGCGATGCACATGCACCATGAGTCAAAGTTTCATATTCAACCTTAACATTATCATTTTTTCCAGATGTTTGAGAATTCAACTGTGCAAACTTAATCTTCCCTTAATATAATTTTTAATTGAATTTTCTATGTTTATTTTTAAACTAAAATAGAGCTATTTAGCTATACATCACCAGAATGCCTTCAAGCACTTTCAGAGGTTCACAAGAGAGAGCCTCTCTCCTCCAAACCTCAGGAGCTGTGCGGCTTTTACCTGCTCATGAAACCTTAACTACAGCAACTGCTTCATCTCGCACTATAATATAGGCTGATGTGGTATAAAAGTTTACTGACATGAGTTTGGGATGGCGTATTATTCACTAGTGGCAAAGCCGTGAATTATAGAAGTCAACCCCAATGAATCTTTCATTCCATGCCAAATCATCCTGTATTTTGTATAGGATACATATTTTATAGCAAAATTTATCTGGGGATGTTTTAGAGATGGTTTCAGAAGTTTTTATTTATACATCCAAATAACACAGAGTTTTCTAGTAGGGTAAGTACAGTTCTTCAGGACTTGCAGGGAGAAGAAAATAACTAACAATTTTAAGAAACTTCAATAAACACTGAAAAAAAGCTGTTGTGATGTTTAATGCCTGATGTCTCATGATCTATCAGTGCCAGAAACAAAAGCCTTAGAACAGCGTAAAGAAGATACCTGGCTCTCTAACGATATTAGTCTGCTTTTCCTTGCCTTGATGAGTCACATGAAATCAGAAATTAAACCTTCCGCAGTCTAGGACAGAACATGGTTTGTCCTGTACCACAGGTCAGTGTAATTCTAGGTAGGAAATTAAACATTTGGGAGAAAAAAAAATTCTCAAACAGTTATTTGTAAGTGGCAGCTGTTTGAAGCTGCTAAGAGTTTTGGAATGTTACTAGCAGGACTGAAAGATGGATTAGTGGGCAGACTGCAGGTGAGGCAGTGAAAGGGGCATAATGAATTGCAAAACCATGCAGCAAATTTTGATTCACGTGCTGATCATGGGACACATGATTTGGGTTTTTTGGATAGATGTAAAACATGTAATTTGAAAGTTGCTTTGGCGTACAAGTAATCTTATGGTGTACATGCCATTACGTTGCTCAATTGCCATTGCTGTAGTAGTTAAGACTTACTCTACTGTCCACTTCTGAACAGTTTAAAGATATACTTACCATGCCATGTTTGGGATGAGCTTTATAAAAGAGCACCTAGTTTTCATGAATGTGCAGAGCTGACCATTCCTGTAGACTAAGGTGCTTCCTCAGCTCATAGTGCAGGGCTATAGGTGCACAGCTCTGCATAATGTCAGGAATGAGACTATGCCCCTATAGTTCTGAAAGGTTCCCCTGTGTCGATGTGTGTCGTTAACAAAGAGGAAACACTAACATATATCGACTTCTTTTTTCAGATTGAACATGGAACACACTCATTATGGAACATGAATGTTTCAAAATCAACTGAGCTTTAATTCCAATCTGAACACACAAACCTGTGTAAATTAAAACAAACACACAAAGAAACAAACCACAAGCACTAAGAAATATTTGCAACAATTGTTAAACCTGTAACAAAAGAAACTTAGGGCTGATTAAGGTGCATACAGTTACACTTTTAAAGTTAACTTTGTGGTAGGACACAGCTAGAGGAAAGGATAAGACTATTTTCCTCTGACAATTTTCACAGTATCAGATCAGAGATTAGCAAAAACTTCAGTTTAATAGTTTTGATTCAGGAAAATATGCCATTTAGCAGCACTATTGGTGTTAGAATACTTATAGCTGTTGCACCTAAACCATCTGAGAAGCCCACCTGTAAATAAAAGAAAAGGTGAAAAAACCCCACACACAACTTTTGAGTGTGGCCTTAAAGTAACAAAACCAACTGAAGTCCAAACTTAAAAAAAGAATTTGACATGCTGGTGGAAGAAAAGAAGGAATTAAAAAAAAAATAAAGTTAGTGATTTAAAAAATAAATTGTAGCACCAATCTGTGCCAACATGGACATCTGGCAATCTGTGGAATTCTAATTACCTCTTTACGCCATAGGCCATATTAAGCAAATTGTCCAGCCTGAAAAGAGAAGGAGGGTCTTTGGGTTAATGTCTCACAGATGGCAAGATCGCTCAATGGAACTATTATTAATAATGTTCCATTTTTAAAGAAGAAATGTTCAACAAGTTTCTCACACATCTAAGGAGTTTAGGAAACAGAAACTCTCTTGAGTTTCAAACTGCATTCAGATTTCAATCACAATATTTAATGACATTTTTAACATGCTTTGAGATTTCAGAAAGGTGATCTCTCACTAAATAGCTATATCTCAAGATTTGACTGCGTGTTAAAAACTCCCCTTTGATTTTTCATTTGTAGATTATATTAGTATGAAATCATAACAAGTACAATACTTCAACAGTTCACCTTTCATTGCAATAAAACTTGTGAATAAAATGTTACAATCCAAAATTAGAGGAATAGAAACATACTGGTTATAAGCAACTCTTGCTTCCCAGTTTCACAAAACTGTTTAGACTTTTTCTTTTGTTTAGAAACATATTTACAAATAACGATCTCCAAAAGCTGCCAATGTAAATTACCATTGAGTTTGGGAAATTAAATTTAATCTACTTTATATTTAATACACAATATGAAAAATCCTTTATCTACATAAGGAGTCAGTGGTAGCCTCAGTGGCTTTTATACCCTTACCAAAGATGTTTTAAATATACACTTGTTTTCATATATACCAGGCAGGTGACTGACCTTTTCTGTGCTCTTCTTTAATTCATTTCAGATTTTAAAATTTGCAAATTTCACAGTAAAATAAATTTAAAAGCTAATATTTATCTTAACCACGCCAGTAAGTCCAAGCATTCCTATTTAATATTTTTTAAAGAAAGACCTTTTGCTAAAAATGCTAGGTTGCCTAAATATTATAGATCATCAAAATAACAGAGAGAGAACCCAGTACTGCTAATACTGTGTTACATATGAGATACAAGCAAAATGTAAATCATAAAACATCACACAGCATCTCAGCACTCATATCAAAGACTACACAAGGTCTCTTTATACCTTGAGCAGACACCTGAAGCTAATAATGTCATAAAACTACTGCTGAATAGAATAAACACTCAACTTTTTGTCAGCCACCAGCCCTACACTCAATGTTAAATTGAAAGTTGCATGAAAACCACAATAATACTGCAGAAAAAAGTTGATAAAAAACAAAAATAAAAAAACAGAAAAAAGTCACTTTCCATTTCAGTATCACTATAACCTTTTATTCTGTCATCCTTTACCTAAGGCCTCATAAGATCCGATTGTATAGTTGAGATGTTTTAGTCAATATGGAATGACTATGGCTGTGAGCAGATTTTCCTGTTCACTCACTTGGAAAGAATGTTTTATTTTACAAAGAAATTGAAGTCAATCTACAATTCCAAAATACATTTTTAACACAACCCCTACCCCAAGTCATCATAGCTGGTAGAGCTCCAGTTCTTTTGCAGATCGATAGTTACCTGAATCTCTGAGCCTGGTGGTGTAGTGGTCCAGGGTAGCGTCTGTTGGGAGACTGGTACAGCTGCGAAAGGAGTGCCTGGCTTGTCTTCTGGCTGGGGTTATTGGCAAACTTCACAGTAATTGGTTCTGTAGCACCACTAGGTTTCTGGCCATTTAGTCCCTTTATGGCTTCTTCTGCTTCTATTCTCTTATCGAAACGGATAAATCCCACACCTCGAGAGACACCTGGGAATAAAGAAAAGACTTTGTTAAATAAAGGTTAAAAAAAAGTAAGAACAGCTTCAGGAATCTTTCACGTATCTAAGGAAACAAAACAACATGTTCATTTTGATCTGAGTTCAGAACATATTACTTTGTGATATAAAAATTATTTTCCCCATCAAGGAAAAAAACCTTGCTCTCTTAAGATCATTTACTGAACCTTCCCTCCTACGTTATATATTGTGATAATTGTAGCAGATGACAGACATACAAGTAGTAAATTGCTTGATACATTCCCCTTAAATATGGATTACCAGTAATTTTTAAAAGATTCTGCATTTAAAAAACACCCAGTGCATTTACTTTCCCTTAAAGTTACATATATAAAGAACTGTGTATGTACTGTAACATCTATATAGGATTACATTTTACATCCAAAGTCATGGCTTCTTACTGTACATCTGTACAGTTTGCTGCTTCACTATAACCATTCTGTTTCAAAAGCATTTAAGTTTGCCAGTTTCTGAAAATACTTAAAGTTTTAAAAAAGTTTTTTTAACCTGTGACTTGATCAACTAGAATTCGTGAAGTGATGATGCGCCCATATTGTGAAAATAACTGTTCTAGTTCTTTCTGGGTCATCGTTTTTGGAAGGCCGCTAACATACAAGTTAGCATCTCTGATTGATGCTGAACTTGGACGGGCGTATGACACCTAGAGGATTAAAAATAAAGAATTAATACACTTTCCATGAACGCATTTACCTCATACATTTAAATCAACAGATTATTTATTGTCTTTACAATCCATAGCATTGGTTTAAATAACCCTGCAATTCAGATTTTAGCTGTTCTTTTACAAGCAACAAGGACTAGGAAAATGTGAGGGAAAACAAAAGGAAAGCAGGAGATAACTTGAACAAATGTAAGGATAAGGCCTCTCTAAGTGAAAGCACAAAATAGCTACTGTACAGTGGTAGATTAACGCACAACTTCCCACGCACAGCTTTGTAAATTTACCCCATGGTCTGTGGGTGTACAGATAATTTACTGTATTCAACACATAATAATCTTTGAATATACCAAGCTTTCTGAGGTTCCAGTGTGTTTTGTTTCAAGCACATGAAACAGATCAGGTTAGTTGCAAAGAGATCTTTTATGCTATAACCCTTTGTATTTTCATTCTAAGCTGGCAACATCTTCCCTTGCTGAATTATAATGTATTAGTGAATCAGGCTAAATCAACATCTACTTCAGGAACCATAAATACAGTGTATCCCTCATCTTCCTATCTGTCATTTTATTTCAAAAAGTCCCTTGCAATGTAAGCCTGAAACCAGACTGTGTAAAGATACTATGCCCAAATAAGCAAAAATCCAGTTGATGCATTACGTATGTATTGTGAAAAAATTATTACACCAGATTTCTGTTAAGGGCTTAACGTTTTTCTACCAAAACGCAAACACAACCCAAATAGAATTTCAAATGGGTTTACATCTGTACCACACTCATAAGCAAAACTTAACACTTATTGTATTCAGAATTCTTTTTTTATTAAAAAAAAACAAACATACTCTTAAAAACTATCTACGTCTTAGATTAATAAAAGCACTCCCTGATAAAGGTGTAGCTTGCATGGCTAGTATGAAATAAAGATTGTGAAGAGATTTATTTTACAGCACATTTGAAACACTGTTCGCTCTAACTTTCTGAACAATTTGAATTTTATCTAATGCAATGTATTTAAATCTACACATCTATAAATTCCCACTGTCTACACATATGGTATACGCAGGTAGGCAGGGGAGGGAAGGTCCAGTCACGAATATGATGCATTAAGCAAGCCTGTCTCCCTCTCCCCAACACAATGATAGATGTCTTTATGTGCTCCACACCTAAAAATAGATGTTGACTCAACACAGAAAAGTACGTGAATGACTAATATTTGCTTCCACAGCCTTTTGCATGTAACAGGAGACAAACTCTCTACTGATTTTACATTGTAAAGTTTTCGGTGACTTTTTTTTTTTAAATAACTCACGTGTTTGTACGTAACTTTTGTTAAAACTCATGTTAAAGAATAAGATTATAGGGAAATGGATGAAAAGTAAGGAAAATGCTGAAAAAGAGTGTAGCTAAAACATTTACACCCAAGATGGCAGGCACAGACAATGCTATACCAAGGCACTGGCACAAGTAACCAGTCTCACAGTTTTCAAATATCAATGGATGAGTATCAAATCAGTAAAGAACATTGTAGGTGGGATTTCAGTAAGTGCCCCCATGACTTCAGAGCTTGAGTCCCATGGACTTTCAATGGGTCAAGTGCTCCTAAGTCACTTACAAGCCTCGCAAAACCCCACCCTCGGTGTTTAGTGTGGCGCTGAGAGTACAGTCCACGTAGCTCAGCGCTCGTTCGTGTAATTCCTACGTGATGCCTGGTGGTTTGGTGGAGAGGTCCTAGGGTTTCATAGACTGGCCTTTCATCTGTGGAGAACACAGTTAAAATCTTGTCTTAGATCATACATGAGTTTGGTGGTTTCTTATTCTCAGTTTATGTATAATCACAAAACCGTCACGTATTTTGGAGCAAGTTATGAGATAACTGGCAGGCACTGCTTAAGGCGGATCCAGAATTAAAATAGTGGGGGGGGGGTCACATGCTAACTCTGGAGTACACTTGCAGGGCAACATCTGGGAGATTTCACAGCACTTGTTCACACTACGCCAGGCTCCAGATGCTATGATTAACCTCTGTTTTCAAGAGAAATAAACTAAGTCTTGGCGTAAAATCCTGGCTCCACTGAAGTCAATGAAAGTTTTGCTACTGACTTCAATGGGGCCAGGATTTCACCTTGAATTTTCAGAAAGAATCTACTACCTCAAAATAATTTTCTGTAAACAGCCTATCTTAATAAGGGGGCACAGTCAAGGTTCACACCTCTAGAATTCAACCTACTTTAGGGGGAAAAAAACCACTTTAAACCTACCCTTTGGAAAAATCTATCTGCTCCTAAAAACTGAGAACTGCAAGACGCACAAAATTCTTGGGCAAACTGCCAAACCCAGGTCCTGGTTTTCTTCACATTAGCACATTCAGCAAGCCAGTGCCTTATTCTACCCTGAGCAGAAAAGGTATATGGATAGAGGAAAATACCACTTTTTGGGGCACTGAAAGACTGGGATTCTTGTATATTTTAATACTCTGCTCTGTTCTGTTCTTGTGAGCCATGCAGACAGGCAAAGTGGGTGGAAAGAGAGAGAGATTGTGCAAAGTTCACTCTCTCACACAAACACATCCACCCACACCGCATGTAAACCACATCATTAACTGAGATCTAATTTTAGTTCCACCTGCCTTTAAACAGTTAGGTTGCAGGGGATTCTGGGCAAGGAGCTGCCAAAGGTTAGTCAGCGATCCTCAATCTCCAAGACATAGGGTTCGGAGTGTGAGATGGACACAAGGCTAGTGAAGGCTATTTCTTCTCCTCAGTCTTTTCCCAACTTCCCTCCTAAGTCAATCAAGTACAAATCCATTGGTTAGCCAGACCCATCCTCTTAAGTTATTGTTCAATTAGTAGTGTGCACCCACATGTTTTTATAAGGGGTTACAGGAAAAAATCCCAATACTTCACCATGGTGTGAAGGGGTTAGAACAGTTATTATGGAGATGTGCCAAAACAGGCTCCCGTTTTGTTACTGAAAATGGTAGAACACTCCGAAAATGTGTCGCACGAATTCTTTATGTTTACACTTATCTCCCATTAGGAACCTGAGTTTGCTTTTACCAGCATGAGGGATCTGAAATACAAAAGACTAGTTAAAAAAGAAAAAAAAATCCTTACAACTGCAAGTTCATATTAATGATTGCGAACAGGACAACTGCAAGAGAAAGATTGGCCCTGGCACTTTATAGCTTGGAAGTGGAGGGCTGTTTCACTCCATCAGATCATTTTCAAGCTGCTTGGGTCAAATTGCCAAGGGAGACAATGTGATATTGTTGGGTTTGTTTTATGGTTCACCAGTCTCCAATGTTAATTTGCATACATATACACAAAATAATTATGGAGAAAATATTTTTGCTAGACTACTACCAATCCTACAAGAAATAAAATGAAACTTGTTCAAAGGACTGTCTCTTCATTAGATAACCTTCCGTTCTTAAGAGACTGCCCTAAACACTCTCTAAGAATTATGGGACAGATGCTAGCTCCATCCCCTTTGTGCTGCTCAGTGCTTTGTGACTCTGTTTGTCAAATGACACCACTGTACTCGGTGCTGGATCAATATACTTCTCTACTCAAGCCACTCAGGAATGGAGTAATTTGCTGCAGCCTCCCTTTGGCAAGTGTGCAGTACAAACATCATGCCTCAGAGTTATGTGTGTTCCAGAATTTCATGTCCTCCATGGATGAAATTACATAATATTTTCAGTCCACTGGCACAGAAAAAGCTTCAAGTTCAACAGGAAGACTAATTCCTCCTATTTCCTCATAGCCCTTAAGAGCATAAACTGATACAATCTAGTCTTCCGATTACACAGAGCCTAACAAAAGCAGTAAAGGAGTAAAGGAGTGAACTTGTCCCATTCCTCTCAACAAGACCAGAACTCTGACGCTTAAGAGCAACAATTTAAATGCTGACAACCATTTCGCTGCTGATACGCTCAGCTAATGTGTTTATCCAGTTATTGGACATACTCAAAATATGATGGACTTATTTGTTCATCTGAAATAAGACTAGACAGTTTAAGTTAACAAAATTACAGAATAGCTTCAGACTTCTTTTCCCCATTTGGTCCTTTAGAGGAACTTGTTCCTCTTGCACTGCAATGATGTTCCTGGTCATAACACAGTGGTTTGGAGTACGTCAGCTCATCTCTATCTGGCTGCAAAAGCTGCTTTATGTGACATAAGGTGCTCACTTCTTGTCAAGAAATTAGTGCACTGACTCTTGCACTGCTCCCAGTCAATGTCAGCTTGGAGCTCGTGAGACTAGTGTTGAGCATTTAACCTGTGAATGTTGCATGCACAAATGCCCTAAGACCATGGGAACAGCTCTTATAGCACTGATTATTCAAATAGCTGAGACATAGCTACAACCTTTGTAAGTTAAGGTACAAGCAATGTTTGCTATGCTGCCAGCTTCTATGACTCCCAGTGCAGCCCTGGGATTTTGTAGATTGTCTGTGAAATGTGGTCGAGTGACAAAGACAGTTCACTCTATAATGATCTTATTAACAATTCTGAAAGATTCTACTTGTCCCTTAGATGGATCTAGGGAGGAAGGATGGTCTTCTGTTCAAATCATTAGACTGGGATTCCAAAAATCTGGGTTCAATTTTGGCTCTGCCACAGATTTTCTGTGTGGCCTTGGGAAAGTCTCCTAACCTTTTTTTGTCCCTCCGCTCTCCAGCATTTACTTCCCCTTGCCCAACCACTGTCTTATGTATTAGATTGTAAGCACTCTGATCATAATTGTCCTTTATTAGGCATATGTCCAGCACAACAGGGTCTGACTGAGGTCTCAACCTGCTACTGCAATACTACACCACGCCCACTCTCCCAAAAAATCCCGCTGATTTATATTCATTACTATCCACTTCCCCGTATTTCCATTTGTTACAATATTTTTTTATAGCTGCCTTCACTTCTCCTCTAAATCACATTTTTTTTTAACCATTATGGCCTTCTTGTTGATTATGGGATTTTGGGC